TTTCACTGTCTGGATTTCCTGTGGGCTGAAAAGGCTTCCATGGCTGGTTGGCCTGGGCTTGGGAAGGCCAGGAAAGGAGAGAAACCATCCGGCATCACTCCATCCGTGGCTTCTCCCAGCGCTGCGCCCTCCAAACGAGCTCTTATTAGTTTGCTTGTTGTCGTTTGCCAGATCAATGGTCCATGGAGGAGTGATCGATGGAGTCCCAGCTGGATAATAGCACCATGTGCCCGGATACTTGATGCTGGGCTGGGCTCCACAGGGAGCTCTGAATCCCATCCCTGGCCATAAAGGTGCTCCTTGTCACAGGAGACCCACCCAGACCCCTCCAAGGAGATGGAGGATGTTCCCGGGATGGGTCCTAGGCTCTGTCCTGAGCACCTAAAACTGGACAGAGGCTGCACCTGGGGACAACTGGGGACAGTAAGCCTGGCCACCTGCGTTCATTTTGGCTGCATGCTGGAAGGTGGGAGGGAGAGCGGGAATGTGGGCTCTGATTGATCAATTAATTAATTAATGGAGCGTGCTGGAGGTGCAGCAGCAGAGCTGCTTTAATGAGGGGTGGAAAACGTGTGGTGGCTCGGCAGGACATCAGTGGGAGAGGAGGTGGCCCCTCCTGCCTGTCCCCTGCCTGTCCCCTGCCTGTGGGCTCCCAGGGGGGTGACGAGGTGCATGGCAGGGGGACGGTGGGCAGGGACGATGGGCACACGCTGGCCCTGGCTGCCTGCCCTCCATCCTGGGGCTCTGCCTGCTGCATTCAGACAGCGGGGAGGGGTGCTGACAATGCGAGGCCATTAGCATTGAAAATCCATGCAGAGCAGCTGTTCCCGCTCGGAGCGTGCAGCTGGATGTGGCTGTGGAGCGGGAGCCGAGGCACTGGGAGAGGGGGGAAAGGCTCAGGGGGGACCTCATCACCTCAGATCCCTTGGGGAGTCATCCAGAGCAAGCATGGAGGAGCCTTCCAGAAGGCTGGGCCAAGTGGGCTCCATCCCAGCCGCGGTCCTGCGGGCTGGGTGCGGATCCATCCCGGGGGAGGAGGATGCAGGATGCTCGTCTCTCCCCGCTCCCTCGGCCTCCCGCCGCGCTGGGTTTTTTTCCGCTCCATTTGCCAGGGGCTGGAGCTGCTGCCTGATCGTATTTGGTAATAAATTATTAGTTCCAGCACTCGGGAGCCCGGGAGCTCAAAATAGCTGCTGTAAGAGCGGGCGGCTGGTGCAGGTCGAGTTCAATGGCAATCTGCTCCCAAGGGCACTCCATGCTCATTAGGGGCCTTTCAAGGTGCTGGGAAGGGGGCAAGCTGGAGCTAAGGTGCTAGATCTGCCCACTTTCTGTTTCCCGACAGCAGCACCCCCTGCCCAGGGATTTCGGGGTGCTGAGAGCCCATCCCTGCCCCTCGCTGCCCACTCCTGCCTGCCCGCAGCGGCTGCCAGTGGGTTTTATTTGTCTCCAGCCCCACCAGGCAGCCAGACTGGTTCTGCTCTCGCTGCCGGAGGAGGCTCCCGCTGCCAAAAAACCCGCCAGCATCATCAGGAGCAGATGGAGAGAACATGGCACGCTCCCAGCTCCCGGCTCCCAGCCCTGCGCCAAGGATGCGGGGGGGCAGGGACACCACTCCAGGAGCCAGGGGCTTGGGGTCCTGCACTGCCGGAGATGCCGAGCCCCATGGTGGGTGCCATGTGTGGCACCGTGGGAAGGAGTGGCACAGGGAAAAGGGTGAGGGGAATATGGCAGTGACCCTGCCATCCCCTCTCCTCCTCCTGCCGGGCAGGGAGCTGCCTGCTCCTGTGGCCGGCAGCCAACGGGCACCGGGAATGCCAGACACTCCCTGTGCCGCTGTGCCTGAGCACATGCTGTGGGAGGGATGGGGACAGGGTGACACATCACCTGCTTCCCAGTCCCCAGCCTCCCCCATGGCCTCAGCGGGGATCCAGGTGTCCTGCAGCCCCCCTGCCTTGGCATTTTAGAGGGGTACAGGCAGCAGTTGCCCGGGGACAGGTGCTTGGGAGTGCCAGCCCTGCACCCCACAGGGCTGGGGGCAGCAGAGGGACAGCCTGCCCCGTTTTGGGGTTCATATCCCCGCCCCGGTGAGGCAACTGCTGACGTGACCCCGGGCTGCTCCAGGCATAGAACTTGACCTGTTTTTCCACACGGATCTGCCTGCTGGGAAAAGCAGTCGGGGAAGGGCTGAGCGGAGCGGGGAGGGGGGGCCACCTCACTGTGGGGCGTCACGGCGTCCCCAGGCGCCCTCAGGGGTGAGTGGCACCAACACCGCGCCGGTGACGGGATGCCGGAGGGAAGGGGGGGGGCGACACAGCGTGGCCCCACATCCCAACCCCGCGTGGATGCTCCCGCCCAGCCTGCTCTCCGTGCCTCAGTTTCCCCAGCTGGCAGCTGTCCCGTGGAGCAGCCCAGGGACGCCTGGACAGACGGACGCCAGCACCGTCGGGGCACGGCGGGTGAGCGGCGCTGCTCGGGCCCCAGCCGGGGCGGAGGCGCCGATTTTATCACCGGGAAGAAGCGGCAAAACTGGTTTTGAGCCCGGCTGGGGCAGCGGCACAGCTCAGCCCGGGGGGCACGAGAGCTCCCCGCACGCTTCCCGGCGAGCTGCCGGCTCCCAGCTGCCCTGCGCTCGCCTGGCAAATCCCATTGGGATCATGAGTTCGCCGGGAGGCGTTTGGGGCCGCGGGGATCAGCTGAGCATCACACGGGTGATGCCCTGCCGCCAGCCCCGTGCCCGGAGAGCGTGCGCCAGTGAGCTGATCCCACCGGGTGGCTGGCAAAGTGTCTTCAGACATGGATTGGGGCGGGAATGAGGGGGGTTATACCGGGGTTAATAGGCGGGGAGAAGCTGGGGGGCACCGGGAAGTGGTTGGGGATTGTAAAGCTGTGCCCGGGGGCTCTGGGGCAGCGCTGGGAGAATGCAGGGATGTGCCCAGGCAGCTCCTGGGGAATGCGGGATTGTGTCTGGGGGGTGTGGGGCAATGTCCGTGGAATGTGGGGCAGTGCCCAGGGCGTGCAGGGCTGTGCCCAAGGGTGTGGGGCTGTGCCTGCGGGCTGTGGGGCAGGGCCTGGGAGATGGGGGGCACTGCCTGGGGAATTCAGGACTGCAGCCAAGAGAATGCCAGGAAGTGCCTGGGGGTGCAAGGCTGTTCCTAGGGGGTGCGGGATTGTGCCCGGGGGATGTGAGGCAGTGCCCAGGGGATGCTGGGCTGTGCCCAAGTACACGGGGCTGTGCCTGGGAGTTGTGGGGCAGTGACTGGAGGATGCAGGGCTGTGCCAGGGGGGTGTCAGGCAGTGCCTGGATGATACAGCATTGTGCCTGGGGGATGCAGAGCGGTGCTCAGGGCAGCGTCCAGGGAGTTCCAGGCTGTGCCTGGGGTGCTGCATCCTCTTTGGATGGTGCATGGGTGCCTGGTGGGGCAGGTAGATCCCGGTGCCTCGCTCTCGGGGGGCGGCACCAAGGACTCCTCCAGGGGTCCACAAGCTGAAGCAGAGCCCGGGGGTGCCGGTGCAGAGCCTGGGGGTGCCGGGGCCAGGCTGGCGTGGCGGGTTGGCTTCCCAGCTGTTCTGGTAATGAATTTACATGAGCCGAGCGTGTCGACAAGGCGGCAGTCAATGGCTGAGAGCACCGGAGTTAATAAATGCTTGTATAATGAGGGCAGAGGGGAACGCGCCGCCGCGCCGGCCGCCTCTCCTGGGGCCGGGGGGCAAAGATTAATCAACGCTGAGTGCCACTCGTGCCCCCCCGGCTCCCGCAGCGCCCGGCGCTCTACCCAGCCAGCCGCTGCCACGGGATGCTCCGGGGTCTCCCGCGGTGATGCTCTACCCACCCCCTCCCCTCTGTCATGGGATTCTCCAGGTGTTCTGGCGTCGTCAATACCTCCAGCTGCCTCCAGCCCCACTGGGAGCTGGGGAGCTGCCCCATGACCACCCCTGTTCCATCCGCCTGCCCACCTGGGAGCTGGGCTAATTTTAGCCTGGTGTTAATGAAGCTGCTCGGTGAAGTCTATTTTAAGGGCCCTGACATCAGCAGTTGCTGTTTTGGGAGGTGGAGAGCCCTGGAGCAACTGGTGTGACAGCTGGGGGGCACATGAGGTGGGCTGCACCCTCCTGCTCAGCTCCTGAACCCCAGTTTTGGGGGTCAGTGTGCCCTGTAGCACCTCGGTGCTTTGGGGTGCAATGAAGGGGATTTCGGGGGGCTGTGGTGAGGATTTGAAGGTGCATTGTGGGGAGCAGGAGGTGCTGTGGTAGGGATTTAGGGGTGCAGTGCTGGGGATCCGTGGATACAATACTGGAGATTTGGGGGTGCAGTGCTTGGGATCCGGGGATGGAATGGAGGCAATTTGGGGATACAGTGGTGGGGACTTGGGGGTGCAATGCTGGGGATCCAGGGATAAAATATTGGGGATTTGGGGGTGCAGTGTTGAAGAGACAGGGGTGATCCAGGTATTGGTGATCCAGGTATGCAGTGATGGGAATCTGGGGGGGCAATATTGGGGATCCAGAGATGCAATATTAGGGATTTGGGGGTGCAGTGCTGGGCATCCAGGAATGCAGTGGGGGGGATTTGGGGGAGCAGTGCTGCAGATCCTCAGATTCAATATTGGGGAACCAGTGATGCTGTTATGGGGATTTGGGGGTGCAATGGTGGCAATTAGGGGTTGCAGCAGTGGTGCTTTGGGTTTTGGCAGCACCACACAAGTCAGGGGACTGCCTCACTCTCATCACCTCCATCAGGATCCTGAAGTCCCTGTGTCCCTCAAAACGCCCTCTGTCTTACCATGGGGCCCCACTGAGTCCCCTTGCTCTGTTATCCAGGGGTTCAGTGAGGCCATGGGATGCCCCTGTTGCCTGAACTTGGGATGCATTTTAGGGTGAGGTGGTGAACCAGAGGGAAGGTCTTGCTTGTTGCACTGGTTGTTCCAGCTCCAGAGGTGGGGGGATTTGAGGATCCGCTCTCCAGGTTAGTCCCTGCTTAACCCAGGCTCTCTCATTCACAGGCATGAGCCATGAGCCGAAGTCGCCGTCCCTAGGAATGCTCTCCACTGCCACTCGCACCACCGCCACCGTCAGCCCCCTCACCCCGTCCCCCCTCAACGGCTCCATCGTCCCCAATGGCAGCCCTGCAGCCAGCAGCACTTTGTCCGTCCAGGCAGCACCTTCCTCCAGCTTCGCCGCCGCTCTCCGCAAGCTCGCCAAGCAAGCCGAGGAGCCCCGAGGTAGGGATGGGGACAGGGGACAGGGGGGTGACAAACGCCAGTGCCTTTCCCCCCCACTGCCACCCGGGAGCCGGAGCTGGTGTTTTCTCGCCGTTTCCCAGCTAATGTCTTTCCCCGGCGCCGTGTCTCGAGGGGGCAGTTTAGAAATTCAATTCAGCCGGAGTAATCCAAGTGCCAGATCACTCGCTGTACCCCAGGAGAAAGCCTGGGAGAGCGCAGTGTGGGGGAAAACCAGCCCTGCTCCCTCCCACCGCGCTTCACCCAAATGCTGTTTCTTTCTGGAGGTTCCTCAAATTTGCTCTTTCCTCAAAGTCCATGACTAAACAGCAAATTTGGGCTCACTAGGAGGTCCCCGTTCCTTGTCACCCGCATCCTCCATTACTCCCCCCTCTCTGCTCAGATGTGGGGTGATGGGGTGCGAGGTGGTTCTGGAGCACCATGAGGTTTCCAGTGCCACAGGGAGCATGTCCCATGGGAATCATCAGGGCTGTCCCACATGCAGAAGGGGAGGCAGCCAATCCCCAGGCTGTGAAGTGCTTCACCAGGAGACTGCTGGCATCATCAGTTTGGGATGAAATAGCATTTATCCATGGCATTTGCATTGGTGGGTGCTCCCCTAGGGTCGCTGCCCACCGCCCGGGTGCTTTGATCCCTGGAGAAGACACCCAACCTGTTTGCAAGGGATTTTTAGCAAGGTCTTTTTGGAAGACCCTCTTCAAGAGACCTTTTTAACAGGCCGTTTTGGGACAATCCTTTCTCTAAGACCGTTTTTGCAAGGCTCGATTTGGGAAACCCTTTTTTTAGAAGCACCATCTGCAAGACCCTCCTCGGAGCCCCCCACCAGCCCCCAAAACCCCATCACAGCCATGACCTGAAGCATCAACTGCTCCCAAGGAAGCATATGGGGACACCATGTCGCTGTGAACTGAGGGGACCAGGTTTTGGTGATGTTTCATCCTTGCTGGGAACTCCTGGTTCTCCCCAGCTGCCTCCTCTGGAACCCATCTGCTTCCTTTGGAGCAGTTGACTAGGTTTGGGGGATTATTTTGCCTTTCCTTCCCCCTACACCCCACAGGTCATGCCCTACCAATACTACTCAGCCCATCCCAAGGCACATCATCAGGCTTGGGCACAGATTTCATGGCACTGGGGAGAAGCAGCCACATTCCTTTCGGATTTCCCCATAACACCTGCATAGTTTGTTTGCAAAACTCCCCACCCTCGCCTATCTGAGTACCCCAAGTGGCTCATCCTGGATGTTTTTCACTGGTGTGGGTTTGGGGGTGTGCTGGGAAGGAGTTTTTTCTCCATGCCATGGCTTTTAGCGCCATGAAATGAATTGCTTTGCGCCAAAATCCTCACCCACTTACCACAACAAGAGGTATTCACCACTTGTCCTTTCCCACCGTGGGAGATGCTTTGCCAGCTATGGGACGATGCCAACAAGATCCACACAAGATCTGGTGTCTTTTGATGTCTTTTTTCCAGTTTTATGGACTCACAGTTCTGCTGGGGCATCTGTTAGGGATGTCCCACTGTCCCACAGCATCCCAAACTGCTGGGGCTCATCCTAACTGATCCTATCCCAGCAAAGCCCCATGAAGCTGCCACCTGCCCAGGGGCTCCTTCCAGCAAAGCCCTATGAAGCCACTGCTTGCCCAGGGACTCCTGCCTCTTGTCCTGCCCCGGGCTGTCCGCAGGGTGGGTTTTATTCCACCCTCCCTTCCCTTCTTTTTTCCCTGTTCTCTGTCAGGGTCTCAGCTGTTAATTACATTTGCCTGTCAGCCCGGGCTGCTAATCTGCTATCGCCGAGCGGGAAGCGGGAGGTCAGAAAACAAAGGTGACACCATCACACTGTGCCTCTTGTCATCTCCAATCCAGATTAGTTTCATTGACTAACTCCTGGCTGAATACCACCAGTTAATTATAACGATCACAAACCCTCCCATTTAAAGCCACACAGCGAGAATTAAGGTTCTGAAGTAAGACTTTAGCTTCATTAATTGCCGGGCTCATTGTGATGGTATTGATTGTTAACGCTATCGCGTGGTGAGTAATGGCTTCCCAGCTCAGAGGGGATTAGGCTGCTAATTGTTGTTGGCCTTGCGCTGACAAGATAGACTTCAGTGGGTGTCAAATCCGTGCGGCGGCCTCCTTTGTTGGGGACAGCCTTTCTCCTTCCCCTAGCCTTGCTGCTCTTCAAATGAAAGCGATTCGGAGCGACTCGGGAATAATTAATACGGGAGGGCGGCCGGCAGCGGGATGCTCCGCTTGGCCTCTGCTCCGCTGAGCATCCTTCCCGCCGAGAATCCTTCTGGAGCATCCTTCCCACCCAGCATCCTTCCCGCCACCTGGGGATGCTCCTGCCTCCCCGTGGCATTCCTGACGTTGCTTCCTCCCGGTGGCGAGGGGATGGAGGTGGGCTGCAGGGGTCACAGGGTGAGGGAGCAGCTACTGGCACTCCTGAGGGAGCTGGCCGGTGTGCTCACAGGGCAAGGATCTGGCTTGCACACTCAGGGCAGTGGGCTTGCACACCTGAGAGGGCTTGCACACCTGAGGGCTTGCGCACTCAGGGGAGCCAAGGCCCCTCCCAGTGCCAGGCTCAGTGCCAGAACAGGGAGCCTCTCCGTCACCTCTCTGCTGGCATCCTGTGGTGACCACGGGCCACCCCTCTCTCTCCAAAGGCTGATCCCTGCCAACATATCAGAATCTTCTCCCTCACCCAGACTCCAGGCTGGAGGGAGCTGGGTTTAGGGGGATCAGAGCCCCCCCAGGCTGCCTGGCTGGGTTAGAGGAGTGGGGCAGCATTTCATGGAGTGGACGCCAGGCACTGTGTGCCGTGCTTAATGTGGAATTTGTATTTCTGCTCCAGCTCTACTTTTCCCACTTTCTGCTTTAACTCCATTTCTATTTTTCCTTTGGAAATATGGCCAACATCCCTTGGGTGGAGATAATGTAAAATACAGATGTATTATGCAAATAAGGCCAAAGCTTTGCTGGAGGGTTTTGGGGAGTCACTGCATCCCAGTGTCTCCGGGTACCCTGGCTTGTGCATGGCAACTTTTGCAGCTGGATTAAGAAGTCTCTGGGTTCAGCTTGAGAAGATGTGGCTGTTTGGGGTTGTCATCACATTGGTGTCACCTGTGCCAAGGGGCTTTATGGGACTAGTGGGATTGGAAGCCACTATTAGGGAGAAAGAGGGTGCCCATCCCACTACCTGAGGTGAAGCCCTTTAGCACCAGTGGGAACCTGCCTTGGGACAGGGCTTCCTGGGAATCCCAGGATGGGAGGATAGCTGTCCAGTCTGGGCATCTGGCGGGATGCTGACCACCCTACAAGCATCCCTGTGCCCCATCCCTGGTCCCTGCAGTGGGGCATCCTGTCAGGAGTGGCTCCATCGTGTTCGGAGGGCGCTTTAATCCGGCTAACTGTTGTGTTTTCCCAATTCATTTTAATTTTTGAATTGATTTCAGGGTCCTCACTAAGCAGCGAGTCGTCCCCGGTCTCCTCGCCAGCCACCAACCACAGCTCGCCCGCCAGCACCCCCAAACGTGGCCCCATGGGCCCCATCATCGTGCCCCCAGGGGGGCACAGCGTGCCCAGCACGCCGCCCGTCGTCACCATCGCCCCCACCAAGACAGTCAACGGGGTCTGGAGGAGCGAGGGCAGACAGGTATGGCTATGTTTGTTGGATGCCCAGCACCATTAAAGGTTGGGGGGTGGGATTGTGATCTGCACTGCCACTCCTGAGGGATCACAGGGCTGTCCCCCACTATGTCCCTTCTCCTCCTCGTGGTGTCCCCGAGTTGCCATGTCCCTGCACTGCCATGATTCCTGGGCTGCCATCATCCCTGGGCTGCCATCCGGAGGGGAGCTCGAGGAAGAAGGAGGCGCGGGGAGGATTGGTGGGGGGGGAAGAGCGGCTAATTAAGAAGCATCGTTAGTGGTTCTCCTCTCCTCCGCATGCTACAAGCAGATTCCCGGGGGGATTATGCCACTTGGAAAGACTAATTAAACCACAAAGCGGAGAGAGGCAAGGGTAGGGGATGAGAAACACTGAGGGCGGGGGAGGAAAATAAATGGAACCCGATCCCCGGGCGCTCGGAGGGGTACGTGGGGTGTCCGGGTGCTCCCCACCCCCATGTCCCCCCGTGTCCCCCCCCCTGTGCTGCCTCTCCCCGGCGCGGGGGTAACCGAGCGTGGTTATTGTGTGGCAGAGCCGCGCTCGCAGCGTGACGCCCCGAGACGGGAGGTAATTAGAGCAGAGCCTGGCACGCACAATGAGCCTGCTCCGTGCAGGCGGCAGAGGTGGAGGGGAGGGGGGGAACACGGCGCCCTTTGTGCCGGCCGTGGTGACCTTGGGGCTGTCCCTAACGGTTGGGGACTTGCGACTTGCCCTGGAGGATCTGGGGAGCGGGATGGGATGGGAGGGGATGGGGAGGGCTGGACAGGTGGGGAATGCTGTGGGTGTTGCCATCCTCCTGCTGTGCTGCTAAACAGAGAAGAATCAAAAGAATCAATTTTAAACCCAATCTTGCCTTACTGGACGCCACCCTCTTAGCTGTCAACCCCTGCAGGCTCCCTTGTCACCCCAAGTGGTCCCCGTTGCTGGGGGGGTGCCTCCTCAGCTGGAAGGAGAGACCATCCTGGCACTGGGAATGGGAGCTGAGGGGAGATGGCTGAGGCCCCATGTCAGGGTGGGGGAGTTGATGCCAGAGGGGAGCTGGGAGGATTCCAGGCTGACCCCTGGGTTATAGCTGTTATCAAAACCCAGCTGGATTTCCCCTGCCCGTGTCCTCCCTGGATGATTAATGGCTCTGGAGAACAAAGCGACCCATAAATCTCCAGGCAGGTAATGGGTGTCCTGCCCTCAACTATTCCCAGGCTTCAGCACCCCTTTCCCGCTGGTGCTCCCCTAGTGTAGACCCCCAGACCCTAACACCCCTCCAGCTGCACTTCCAAAGTCTGGATGCAGGGGGATGCTCTGATGGGTGCATTCTCCCTTGGGTGCTGGTTCCAGTCAGGTATCCCTCTGAGCACACTGGGAACCCACTGGGGTTCTCTGAGTGGGGACACATCAGGGACACCCTATCCCTGTGCCATTCCCTAATGCCCATCTTGGCGTTCCTGCCCCTTTTCCTTCCAGCAGGAAGCAGGGTCACGAGGCAGCAGCAGCAGCGCCGCCCGCGAACGCCTCATCTCGGAGCCCCCACTCACACAGGAGAAAGCAGGGGGTCCCACCGTCCCCTCCCACCTCCTGGGGACACCCTACTCCTTCGGGCTGCCTCCCAGCTCCGTGGTCCAGGACTCCCGCTTCCCACCTCTCAAGTGAGTCTGGTCAGAATGGATGGGGCGCGGGGGGTTGCAGGATGCAGGTGTCCCCTGCGAGCTCTTGTCCCATCCTGGGGGGAGTCACATCTCCCCAGCGGAGGCAGGGTGGGGTGGTGACCATCTCCCTACCCCCCCACAGCCTGCAGCGGCCGGTCCACCACGTGGTGCCTCCCAGCGCAGTCACCGAGGATTACCTGCGGAGCTTCCGTCCCTACCACACGGCCGAGGACCTCCGCATGTCCTCCCTGCCGCCCCTCGGCCTCGACCCGGCCACTGCTGCTGCCTACTACCACCCCAGCTACCTGACACATCACCCCTTCCCGCATCCTGCCTTCAGGTGGGCACCTCCGGACCTCGGGATCCCAGGGAGGTGCTGGAATCCCTCTTTGGGCTGGGGAATGGGGAGCGTGATCCACAAAGGACAGTTGGGCTGCGCTGGGGGGCATTTTGGGGCTCTCCAGCACCTTCTCCCAGCAGAAGGTGGCCCCCATCCAGCTCCCACATGGGGAACTGGGGGGGTTCTGTGCTCCTCCTGAGCATCCCTGTCTTCCCAGGATGGATGAGTCGTACTGCCTGTCAGCACTGCGGTCCCCCTTCTACCCACTGCCAGCGCCGGGCTCGCTGCCACCCCTGCACCCCTCGGCCATGCACCTGCACCTCTCGGGGGTACGGTACCCCCCCGAGCTCTCCCACTCCTCCCTCTCCGCCCTCCAGTCCGAGCGCATCTCCAGCCTCGCTGCTGAGAGGTACGGAGGGGCTGGTGGGTGGTGGGAGTGGGTTTGGGGTGCTCCAGGGGATTCTGGCAGGCGTCTGAGAGTTTTGTGGTGTCCCACGGGGTGCTGACAGGGATCTGGGTATTCGGGGGTGTTCCAGAGGATGCTGACAAGTGACTGGAGGCGGTTTGAGGGTACTCCAAGGGATTCTGACAGATGGCCAAAGGTTGTTTGGAGGTGCTTTGGGGAAAATCTCTGGGAGCACTCCAGAGAATGCTGACAGGCATGGGAGTGGGCTTGGAGGTGTTCTAGAGGATGGCAACAGGCATCTGGGGGTGGTTTTGGGGTGCTCCAGGGGACGTTTGGGGTTGGTGCTTTTCTTATTGGCTTTTCTTTGCAGGCTGCAAATGGATGAAGAGCTGCGGCAGCGGGAGCGGGAGCGGGAACGGGAGCGGGAGAAGGAGCGGGAGCGAGAAGCTGACCGGGAGCGGGAGAAGGAGCGGGAACGGGAGCGAGAACGTGAGAAGGAGCTGGAACGCGAGCGGGAAAAGGAGCGGGAGCGGGAGCTGGAGAGGCAGCGGGAGCGTGCCCGGGAGAAGGAACTGAGCATGGTGAAAGCCATGGAGGGGCCCTTCCTGCCCGTGGCAGAGCTTCACGGGCTGCGGGGACACCCAGCCGAGGAGCGGGGCAAACCAGCAGAGCCTCTGGCACCCGGCAGACCAGGTAACGTCCCCACGGGTGGCACTGGAGGAGTTGCTGCCTTTGGCACAGCTTGCCTTGGTCCCCTCTCCCCTCCAGATGGCAAAGCCACGGGGGTCAGTGGCTCTGGGAGGTGGCTGGGGATGGAACAGGGCTCTCCTGGTTGCCAGCTTGCTTTGCCAAGAGCCCAGCTGCGGTGGCTCGGAGCAGCAGCAGGGTGCCTGTGCCATCTGACTTGGTCTGGGGTGGCACCGTGCCCGGTGCTGAGCACGGTGGGCAGCTGGGCTGGCAGTGAGAGGGCAGCACCCTGTGCTGAGCTCCAGCCCCACAACTTTGGGTCCCTCCCGCCCACAGGGGTCTTCACCCTAGCATTTCCTGATAGCCACCCATGGGTATCCTCCTCTTTCCATGCCCTGAGTCCATCGCCCCTTTTCCAATGCAGATAAACTCAAGGACTCGGTACTGCCGACGCCGAAGCCCATCCAGCACCCCCTGCATCCACCACCGGGCTCCCACCACCCAGTTCCCAGCCTTATCCCCAACCACAGCGTGTTCCCGCTGCCGGGGAGCAGCGCGGCCACGGCGCTGCTCATCCACCGCACCAACGAGGAGGAGAAGTGGCTGGCCCGGCAGCGCCGGCTGCGCCAGGAGAAGGAGGATCGGCAGTCCCAAGTCTCGGAGTTTCGGCAACAAGTGCTGGAGCAGCACCTGGACATGGGGCGTGTCCCGAGCCAGCCTGAGCCCGAGCACCGGCCTGAGCATCCCAGGTAGGGATGATGCCAGCCCTGCTCTAGGGATGGAGATTCCCTCTGAAACTGAGCTGCATTTTCCATGCTGCAGCTTTCTTTGCTGTAGTATCCGTATCTTAAACTGGGGAGGGACTTTGGACAAGGGTCTGGAATGATAGGACAAGGGGGAATGGCTTTAAATGGGAAAAGGGCAGGTTTAGATTAGATATTGGGAAAAAATTCTTCTTTGTCAGAGTGGTGAGGCCCTGGCACAGGTTGCCCAGAGAAGCTGTGGCTGCCCCATCCCTGGAAGTGTTCAAGGCCAGGTTGGAAGGGTCTTGGAGCAACCTGGTCTAGTGGAAGGTGTCCCTGCCCATGGTAGGGGTTTGGAACAAGATGAGATTTAAGGTCCCTTCATCCCAAACCACCAAACCATTCCATGGTGCTGTGATATGATGACCTGTTTCCCCCCTGAGCCTATGGCTGTGCTCACAGAGTTGTAGGTAGCTCTGCCCCCTTCCCAGGTATCCATCACCCCGCAGCTGTGCCCTTTGCTCCTCACACATCCCTGTGAGCGGAAGCCATGATGCCCGGGCCGGCGCCAGCGGGTCCCTGCCAGGCAGTGCCAGCCAGGCCGGCTGTGCTGGCAGCGTCCAGCATTCCCGGTGCCCGACATCTGCGCGGCGGCAGGCGATGAGCCCGGGAGGTGGCCAGGGGCCAGTGGCGAGTGGCCAGGTGCTGCCCAGCCACCGGCACCGCTAATTGCAGCTCCCCCCTTCCCGTGCAGCGGAGCCAGACACTGGGATGCCTCGTTTGGGGGGCACCTGCACCGAGCCTGGGCAGTTTGGGGGTTAGTGGAGCATGCCTGCACCCTGTGGTTGATTGACAAGGGCTGGCTCACCCCCGTTGCTGAGCACTTAAGCGGTGCAGGCTCATCCAGCCAGCTCTGCCGCCTGCTCCCTTTGTTATTTTTGGGTATCCAGGGGATTAGCGCAGCTCATCAAGGATAATAAGGAGCGGATCACGGGGCGGCACAAAGGCGAGCGCCCGCTGCAGGCTCCTTCCCCCATCCACTCCTCCCACCCAAACCAGAGAGGAGGCAGCAAGGTCACCCCGAAACACCTGCAGCCAGGGATGCTCCATCCCCATCCTTATCCCACATCCAGCAGGGAGGGAGAAGGACTGATCCCAGAGGGCAGGTGGTGCTCCCCGCTGGCGGTGACACGATAGCGGCGGTGACACGATGGCGGCTGAACTGAACCCGCTGCTCCGTGTGTGGAGCTCCAGGGCGCTGGAGCGGAAAAGCGTTAAATGCACAGCTTGGGCACATGAAATATTTATCCTGCTAACGGGCTGGCTCTGGCTCCGACTGTCAGAGAAGGGCTGCACCGGGGCACTGCCCTGGCTGCCGGGGCTGTGCCAGGACTAGTGGACCTCTTGTCCCCATGCGGGGGTTAAACCTGGAGTCTCCTACCCAGCACCCTGGGGATGCAGCCACATCCCTGCCCAACCCACCCACGCACTGCCTTAACTCTGCCCCCATCTCTCAGGTTGGTAGCACAGGAGGGGACAAGCGTGGCAGCCCCACATGCAGAAACCTCTCTAGGTGGCCCTAACTGGCACGTTTCTCCCCTAGAATCCCCTAATGCTGGGGTGCTGCCAACTCTCCGGTGGCCGTGCTGGCTCCTCACCTCTCCGGTCCTTTCCTCTCCCTGCAGGTCGGGGTCGAGCCGCCACGAGCCAAGCAGCCGGGAGCCAGGGCAGCACTTCGGTGGGCCCCCACCACTCATCTCCCCCAAACCCCAGCACCACCCCGTCACCACGTCCCTCTGGAACCCCGTCTCGCTGATGGAGAACCCCCCTGATCCCCCACGGCGCCTCCCTGAGCCTCACACCCTCCACGGCCACCCGGCCCCCTTCGAGCCCAGCCGTCAGGGCATCCCGTTGGTGAAGGTGGAGAGGGTCTTCTGCCCTGAGAAGCTGGAGGAGGGGGCAAGGAAGAGGGATGCTCTGGAGAAATACCCCCCGGGACGGGAGCCCGGTGCCCCGGAGCACGGGGGCTTCACCCACACCCCCTTCCTAGCTGAGCTGGAAAAGTCTACTCAGAGCATCCTGAGCCAGCAGAGACCCCCGGCCACCCCCTTCCCTGAGGCCACCAAGCCCAGCTCGCCCTACCGGCCCCCCCAGCCCCACGCCCAGGATCCCATGTACATCTACGACGAGTTCGTGCAGCAGCACCGCAGGCTGGTCAGCAAACTGGACCTGGAGGAGCGCCGGCGGCGGGAGGCCCGGGAGAAAGGTGAGGGACCGGGGATGCCCCCACTGGGACCGGGACCTTGCGGTGGGGGAGCAGCCGGGGGGTCTCCCAGGGATGCCGCAGCTCCTGCATCTGAGTGGCTTGGTAAACCCTCTGCTCCAGACATGCCCAATTAATAAATGATGAACTGAGGCTAATAAGTGGGTTTTAAATATTAATGGGACTGTGTGCAAGCAGGGACAGTGGTGGTGAGGAGGAGATGGAGCACTTGTAGGGGGCTGGTGTTCCTGTCCCCGCTCTGTTGGGTTTTGGGGCTCAGCCACAGCCTTCCTCCTGCCCTGCCCCATTGACCCCTGGCCACCCCTCCCATAGTGGTGCCAAGTGGCGACACAGGGGTGGGCGATGCCCTCCAAGGTCCCCTGGCTGGTGGAGGGGGGACAGGGCTCCATTGAGTTGCACTTCCCGTCCTCCTGGGCCCCACATTGGACCCCCACTGCTCCCCTCTGGCATCCCACCCCACTGCACCAGCACTCTGCTGCACCCCCATCCCCAGTGGGGTCCCAATGGATTCCAGAAGATTTCTTGGGATCCCAGAAGGTCCCTGTGGTATCCCCAGTCTCAGGGCAGCCTCTCCCCATCTCCAGGGTACTATTACGACCTGGACGACTCCTGTGACGACAGCGATGAGGAGGAGGTGCGGGCCCATCTCCGCTGTGTGGCCGAGCAGCCCCCGCTGAAGCTGGACACGTCCTCTGAGGTACTGATGGCACTCCCTGTCCCCTCCTGGTCCCCCCTGTCCCTGTTCTCTGGAGGAGCAGCCCCTGCTCAACACCAGCTCCAGTGTTACACTGAAGCCACCATCTTCATCTGGCTGCAGAGGCACTGCACGGTTAGGGATGAGGATGGGGATGGTGAGGTAGGTAAGGGAATAGAGATGAGAATGGAACGGGGGTGAGGAGGGGAATTAGAATGGGGATGAGGATGAGGATGGAAACAGAAATAAAGATGAGGATGGGAATGGGGATGAGGATTAAGATGGAGACGAGGATGGGGACTGTTCTGGGGATGACCCTGCTCTGCTCTCCCCCTTGTCGCCCCAGAAGCTGGAGTTCCTGCAGCTCTTCGGCCTCACCACGCAGCAGCAGAAGGAGGAACTGCTGAGCCAGAAGCGGCGCAAACGCCGGCGAATGCTGCGGGAGCGGAGCCCTTCGCCGCCCATGGTGCAGAACAAGCGCCGCACGCCCTCCCCGCGCCTCCCACTCTCCACCCGCTACAGCCCCGACGAGATGAACAACAGCCCCAACTTCGAGGAGAAGAAACGCTTCCTCACCATCTTCAACCTCACGCACATCAGCGCCGAGAAGAGGAAAGGTAACAGCCATGCCCCGTGCACGTCCAAGGCCGGGCCCTGCTCCCCGCTTTGGGGGTGCCACAGAGGGGTCCTGCCTGGGCCTGTGAGCTTGCTCTGCTGAGCAGAGGCTACACTAAACCTCAGCTTCCCATGCCGCAGACAAAGAGAAGCTGGTGGAGATGCTCCAGGCCATGAAGCAGAAGACCACGCCCGCCGCTGTGGTGGTGAAGAGCTCCCCGAGGGACAGCCCCAATGCCCCCACTGCTGGTAAGCACCCTAAGCCCTTCCCTGGCTCTCGGCTGGCTGGGAGCATCCCCTGCCTGCTGGGATGAGGGGCACAGCTTTGCCTTGAGGGTCACACAGAGTCCTGACTGCAGCCATCGCTCCTCCTCTTCCCAAAGAGCCACCAGTGCCACCACTCCTGCTGGATCCGGATAAACCTGTGGGCATCGCCGTCTCCGTGCCAGAGGTGCCGAAGACGGTGGAGCCCGGCAGGTTGGACCAGCTGAGACCCCAGGAGCTATCGAGAGCCAAGGAGTCGGGCACTGTGCCGGCAGAGAAGCCCCGACTGAGCGATGGGCACCCCGGGAAGAAGGCACTGAGCATCCTCAGCTACGTCAGGGGTCCACTGCCCAAGGACATCCCGGTGCCACTGTCACACAGCATGAACGGCAAGAGCAAGCCCTGGGAGCCCTTCATTGCCGAGGAGTTTGCCCATCAGTTCCACGAGTCAGTGCTGCAGTCCACTCAGAAGGCGCTGCAGAAGCACAAAGGTAATGGGAAGCACAAATCACAAAATCACAGGATCATTGAGATTGGAAAAGATCTCCGAGATTACTGAGTGCAACCTGTGCCTGATCCTCACCTTGTCACCCAGCCCAGAGCACTGAGTGCCACGTCCAGTTTTTCCTTGAACACCTCCAGGGATGGGGACTCCACCACCTCCCTGGGCGACCCTTCCAATATTTAGCAACCCTTTCAGTAAAGAAATTCTTCCTGATGTCCAGAAAAAAAAAGTAGGAATGTGGGAAGCTGGCTGGGTGTCACTGCTGTAGCACCCTGTTGTCTCCCCACCAGGGTTTGTCACCAGCAACCTCGCTGGAGCATCCCTAGAGCTCATTTTTGAAGCCAAAAACAAGGCACTGGTATAACCCAGCTCCAACCCCCCCCAAACTCACTGAATTCAATGAGTGAGACTAATAAAGCTGCTGCGGTGCATGGGAAGTGATGCAAACCCATGAAAAGTGCTGTAGCCCCCCAAAAGTCCAGAGAGGGTGGAATTAATGCCTTGAGGGGAGCATTCCTCTTCTTGGAGAGCGGCACTGGGGGATGCAGGGAGCGGGCAGGGGGCTGACTCTGGGTGCCCACAGGGGGGACGGCGGCGCTGACGGCGGAGCAGAACCACAAGCTCGACGCCTCCATCCACTACAACATCCCGGAGCTCCAGGCATCCACCCGCCTGGCCGGGGCCCCCCACAACGGCACGGCCGAGGGGCCCCTGCCCCACCGGGCACTGCCCCCCCTGCCCCGCGACTCGGCCTCCGAGGAAGAGGACGAGGAGGAGGAGGAGGAGGAAGAGGAGGAAGACTACCCCAGGCCCAAGTGGCAAGGGATCGAGGCAATTTTTGAAGCTTACCAGGAACATATAGAAGGTATGGGGGCAGGGCGGACCACGGAGGGTGAACCCCCACTTTGTGCCTTGGTTTCCCCTCGGAGGCATCTCTGGTTCCTGCTGGGATGGGCTGGGGAAGCAGTGATGAATCTCCAGCACTGCAGGAGAAGCATGAAAGCAGCAGGCACTGGAGAAAAGTGATCTATATGTGAAAAATCAGTGTATTCACGGCTGTCAAGCGTCCTCCCAGCGGGACCCAGAGGTTCCCTGTGGGCAGTGCAGGGGCTGGGGATGCTCTGGGGTGCTGGGGGCAATCGCTGCCTCGAGCAGGGCTGGCATCCTCTGTGCCAGGCCTAGAGCCAGAGGAGCCGGTGCTCAGCCTCTCTCCTCTGAATCCTGCAGAACAAAACCTGGAGCGCCAAGTGCTGCAGACGCAGTGCCGGCGGCTGGAGGCCCAGCACTACAGCCTGAGCCTGACGGCGGAGCAGCTGTCGCACAGCATGGCGGTGAGTGGGCACGGGCACCCCCTCCTCCTGGGCACTGAGGGCCTCCCAGTCCTCCTGGGCATGTGGTCTCTGTGGGATCCCCAATCCTCCTGGGCACTGGGCTTCTGAGGCACCCGATCCTCCTGTAGCGCATCCATCCCTGCAGTGTCCTGTTCCTGCAGCACCAATCCCTGCAGTTCCCATCCCTGCAGCGCTGCAGTGCCCATTCCCTGAAGTGCCCCATCCCTCGTAGTCCCCCCCACCCTATTCCCTCCACGCTATGCCACGGGCAACCACATTTGCCTTGGGGCATCCAGGTAAGTCCAGAACCCCGCAAGGGATCCCATTCCCTGCAGTGCCCCATTCCCTGCAGTTCCCATTCCCTGTAGTTCTCATCACTGCAGTGTCCAAACACGGCAGTGCCCATCCCTGCACTGCCCATTCCCTGCACTGCCCATCCCCTGCTGTGTCCCAAACCCTGCAGTGCCCATTCCCTTCAGTGCCCCCCACCCTATTCCCCAGGCAACCCACATCCCCTGCTGCACGAGCACTCCCCCACTGCCCTCTGACCATTCCCTGTCCCTGGCTGCCCACAGGAGCTGAGGACCCAGAAGCAGAAGATGGTGTCGGAGCGGGAGCGCCTGCAAGCCGAGCTGGATCACCTGCGGAAGTGCCTTGCCTTGCCTGCAATGCAGTGGTCTAGGGGTTATTTCAAGGGGTATCCCAGGTGACGCTCCTTGGGCCAGGCCGAACATATAGTCTAGAAATAATAATCTATTTTATTACCTTGAATATTTAATATTTTTCACTGGGAGGTTTGAAGCTAAAAAAAATAAAATTGAAAAAAAAAAAAAAAAAAAAAAAAAAAAAAAAAAAAAAAAAAAAAAAAAAAAAAAAAAAAAAAAAAAAAAAAAAAAAAAGAAGAAATAAATAAATAAATAAACGGAGAATGTGCCATGCATGAAGCAAAGGAGCACGGGAGCTGGGAGCCCATCCCACGGCCAGCAGCCCCCAGCCTGTCCCCTCCTGTCCCCCCCTCTGGGGGGGCCACCACGCTGCAGCCCCCCCCTTTCACCCACCCACACTTTATAACGCTCATTTTTTGTTGGTTCTTTTGGGGTTTTTTTTCTAAAAAAGGAAAAAAAGAAAAAAAAAAAGACAATTAAGGTCTCCACCGACAACACTAAAGCCGGCGGAGCCCCGCGGGGCCGGGTGCTGCCGAGCCCCCCGCTCCCAGCACGGCACCCCCATCCCGGGGTTTCCACTGGAAATGCACTTCGCTATCAAAAAATAAAGTCAATAAACTGGTTGAAGGTCCCTCTTTGTTCCTGGTTGGCGGGGAAGGGGCAGGGACACGCGGGGTCACCTTGTCACCCCGGCTTTGGGATTGAACAGTCAAAAAAAAAAGAAAAAAAAAGGTGCTTCAGCCTTGTACTGTGTATATATATTAAAAAACAACAAAGTTTTGTATGTTTTTATTGCTTTAATTATTGTTATAAAAAGCTTGCTTTTTTTTTTTAATATGTTTCTGCTTTTTTTTTCTTTTTTGTTTCCCCTTCTCCCTCCATTTTTATTTTCTTTCTGGTTTGTTGTTTTTGTTTGTTTGTTTGTTTGTTTTTTGGCAAAAGCATTAACTTGCTTTTAGTGTTTGTACTGCTGCTGGTCAGGCCAGAAAAGATATTGAAGTGTTTTAAAAAGAATTTAAACCCAGGAAAAATAAATCCCCTTTTCCAATGCTGTCCCACCACCAGTCCCTTGGGAAGCTGAGTTCTTCCACCCTCCCGTGTTTTGTTGGTCTTTTTTTTTTTTATTATTATTTTTACCCTTTTTCTTTGCTTTCTGGGGTATTTTCTGCTCCAGTCAGGTTGTTGTGGGTGTCACGGTGCCGAGTGGTGTCTCAGCCTTGAACAGTCTCCACCTGCCAAATTCAAAACCCAGAGGAATTGCACCGAGAGGGCTGGAGGGTTGGGGGGTGGGTGACACTGGGGTGTCCTTGTCCCTCTTCCCAAAATATCAAGACAATCAGAGCAGTGCTAAGGCAGTTTGGGCAGGGGGAAAGAGGATCCCTGTGGGTCTGTTGGTGGCACCATGGGGACATTCCTGGTTGAGCTGTGCCTGCTGGCGGGCAGGGATGTCTTGGTGCCACCAGGATGGGGTGACAGGGTCAGGCTTGGTGCCATTTTTAGCCTCTCTCTAACCTATCGTGTGCCCCAGCTCCCCTGGGGGAGCCTTTTTTTATTATTATTATTTTTAAATTATTTATTATAAATTGTTTTTAATTCGCCACGAGACCAGCTCACATCTCCAGGAAAAGGTGACCTCTGCTTCCTGCTTTAAATTCCCTTGTTGCACTTGCAAAGAAAGCATTAACCCTCCCCAACCCCCCTCTGCTCCCCGCTCTCCCATTGGCTTCACCAAATATAAAAAGCTGTGCAAGATTAAAAAGCAAAATGCCCTTGTGACAGAAATTAGTTTAATCTTTTTTAAATCCCCAATTGCCTCGCCAGCCTCTGGCCTCGCCGCTGCCAACTCCGGGCTTCACAGGGAATTTTAACACGGCAAAATACTCGTTGCTGCACTCTTTTCCCTTCCTGTGTGCTGTGGAGGAGAGGGGGAAGAAGCTAGGGATGGAAAATCGTTGGCAGTTTATCTCTCACGGTGATGAGGAGCCTGGCTGGGATGTAGCCCCGCTTTGTAGAGCCTCTTGTCCTGACTTTCCGTCCTCACCAGCCCAGAATCAGGTTTCTTGGACCAATTTCTCAGCATTTCTCCTCCCCTTGGGGCTGTGGTGAGCGGTCGTGTCCGTGCACACCCCGTGCAGAATTGCTGGAGCAGCTGTGCCAGAGCCTGGGATGCCTGGAAGGAGGGAGAGGACGGCAGAGCCCGCTGGGGGCAGGTTAGATGCTGTGAAAGAAAGCAAAAGAAAAAAATCCCAAAAAAGGAGAAAAACCAACCCTAAACATGTTCAAAGTGTACTTGTTGGAATTAATTGTAATGTAATATATTATTTGTTGAATGTAGTAATTAGGTATTTATGAATATATTGCTGTAATTTCTGAAAACATCCAAAAACCAAAATAAACTCTTCCACAATGACGGCAACGGATTCTTTCTCCGCCGCCGGCGATGGGAACGCAGCCCTGCTCCGAGCATTCCCAGCCCTGCTCCAAGCATTCCCAGCAGCTCCTGCCATCATTCCTGCTGTCCCAGCCCTTTGGGGACGCAGCAGAGGCAGGCAGGGCACAGATGGCAGCAGGAGCCGGGCCCAGATGCTCGGGGAAGGGCAGCGCTCGCAGCCTGGCACCCTCGGGCTCGGGGAATAATTACATCTGCCATCAGCACAGCCTGGCTCCGGCCAGGATCCTGCCTGGATCCTGCCCTGGATCCTGCCCTTGCCTGTCTCTCTGCCGCAGGGAATTGGGGCTGGAGCCAAAGGAGAAAGCTGCAGGTTCTTCCAAGCATTGTTTAACCTGTGTGTGTGACACCACACAGGGATTAATTTGATGCCATTCACCCAGCTGCAATTATTTTTTATTATTATTTTTATTATTTTTAATACACGGTTGCAGATTAAAAAAAGCAAAATATTAAAAAAAAAAAAACACAAAAAACAGTCAGATGTATGTTTCCCAATAGCCTGGCTATGGAGAGGGAAAACCATTTTCTTTTGTCCTGCAAAGAGCAGATGGATCTGCTTCCCAGCTGATCTCTCCAGCAGACACCTCATTGCCGGCACATCTTCCCCTTTTTTTTTTTTTTTCCCCAAGGCTTTGAGAAAATCCATGGCGAAGCACCGCCTCGAAATTTATGGCTTTCAAGGCAGCGTGTGGCCTGTGCTGCCCTCAGAAGTTCCCTCGCTGAAGTACAACCACAGGAGAGATCCCGCCCAGCCTCATTAGAGCCCTGCAAGGCACCTCCCACACCGAGCGCCAGAGACGCTCCCAGAGAGGCTCCCAGGGACGCTCCGGTGCCATCGGAGCAATTCCCACCCGGCTGTGAGGCCGTGCAGCTGCTGCCGAGGGGGGATGAGGGTTGGGAGGTGTCGGGAGGTCTGTGCAGGGAGGTGGGGACTGGCCAGATTCCAGTTCCCACTCAGAAATCCTGGGAGTGGGCAGTCTCGCCAGGCTGGAGGTTAGTCCGGAGCTTGTACATGTGATCCAAGGCTTGGGTAAGAAAAGTCCCGGTCGTGTTGATCTCCATCAAGGTTAAGTTATCCAGCTAAAAGGGGAGGTAACAGAATCTTAGGAAGCAGTAGAGGGCAAGGCACTCGGGAAGCAGCTCACAGCCCACACTTCCCCTTGGATGACATTCCAAGGGACCTACCCAGCTGCCACCCCAGTCAAGAGGAGCACCTGAGCACCAAGAGCACTATTTCAAGAGCATTCCCCATCCCTGGAAGCGTTCGAGGCCAGGCTGGAAAGGGCTTGGAGCAACCTGGTCTAGTGGAAGGTGTCCCTGCCCATGGCAGGGGTTGGAACTATACCTTTAATATCCCTTCCAACCCAAACCATTCCATGATTCTCTGGTTTCCATAAGGCACAGGGAGCTGCCACAAGCCCGAAAAGAGAGGGTTCAACAAACACGGCTTGAGCTCCCAACTGACACACCGACAGCGCAGGAAAAACATGCCCCAGCCAGCCTTTCCCCAGCAGCTCATTCCCCATCCGCCACCATCCCACACAGCAGCTGGAGCCCTCCCAGCCTGGCTCTGTCAGGACCATCCCTACACGTCCCCAGCACACCTTGGCGTGAGCCTCCTGCTGCCGCACGAAGCTGTCCGCGGACAGCCGCAGCTTGGCCATCCTCGTATCCCACGTGTCCTTCACCAGCGTCCGGATCTCGTCGGCTTTGGGGATGTTGTCTGAGGCACTAGAAAAGGGAAAGGAAAGAGAGGATCAGAACAGGCTGCAAGGGACGTGTACGTTGTGTCACCGGCGTTAAGTCACGCTGGCAGCGCCTCACCCCTCCGAGGCACTCGCAGAGCAGTTTGCTACGGAGGAAAAAAACCTGCAACTCCACATTAAAATCCAGTCTGGTACTTGTGCTGCTGGGATTTCTGGGATGGTTTATTTACCCAGGAATGCTCAGCTCTTATGCAGCATCTGGTTCTCGCTAGAATCCTTCTGCTCTGTAATTGCCCAGCTGGTGCGAGGTGCACGGAGGGCCAATAACCCGGCCAAAGTCACGGGCAGCCAGGGAATCAAAGGGCTTGGCCGCGATTAAAGCCCCGGCTCGGGGCTCCCGGGGCTCCATCAGGGAGAATTAAGCTGAAAGGGCTGTGTGAGATGTGCCACATCGTCCCATTAAGGCCGTTCAGCGCTGCCATAAGGACCTTGAGAGATCCGATCGATTCGCACGGACAGAGCTGTCAGGGTTGTTGTAGCGTGAGGGAGGGAGCTGCAAGCCAAGAGCCTCATCTCCAGAGGAAAAGCCAGAGCTGGAATGACCACCCTGCTTAATCGAGGGCTTAAAGTCACCAGAGCCCAAGCTGAGCAAAATACCAGCCAGCACATTTTACAAGTGAAATGCCTCAGCAGGCAGGAGCTCAGGCTCGGAATATCCCCGGTCTCCTGCTTCTCAGGCTGAGGAAAGAGGAGCTTTCCTCCTGAAGGAGAGCCAAGGAAGAAGCCTGGAGGGTTTAGGCTGCTGAACAGATTGCAGCCGTGGAACGTGTTGCGGATCCTCCAGGCCTCCACGCTGAGCTGCTGCTCAATAAAGCGGCACAGCCCCAATTATGAGGCCACAGAACAAGCAATCCCCAAGTTACTGAAATGCAAAGTTACCATGAGGAAACTGCTGCTGCGAAATCTTGGCAGGCTGTGAGATAAACCTCCGTTAACTCCCGCTCTTCCCGCCGCCCTCCGGGGCTGCTGCCAACCAAGGCTTGAAAGATTGTCCGTGCAAGCGCATACTTGGATGGAAAATGCCACAGCTCAGCTCCTACTCACTAGTTTAACAGCAGCTTGGTGAGTTCCATGTAATAGGGACTGGGCATTGGAGTGAATGTGTCCTCTTTCCGTTCCTGGTCCCGGATTTCCTCCAGTTTTCCTAAAATACAAGCAGGGATCATCAGGCATCACCAGGCCTTCAGTGCTCCAGGTTACATTTTTACCCATCCCTGGAAACACATGTGTTATTTCTGTAGGATCAACTCTATATCCAAGCTTCAAATGATGTGAGGGCAGGAAAATGCTCCTGTGAGGAAGCACACAAAGATGCTGACAGGGACATCACAGCCTCCAAGGTCTCCCCCCTCACAGAGTGTCAACCAGAGTTTCTCCCAGTGAACAAGTGATAGGACAAAAGGAAATGGCCTTAAGCTGTGCCAGAGGAGGTTCAGGTTGGACATAAGGAGGAATTTCTTCACTGTGATCCAAGGTCCCCAAAGCTCTTTCTGAACAAGTCTTGTGAGCTATCCAGGCACTGCTAAGAAAGACCAGTGACCTCTGCTGAAGGTGTCAGGGCTGGTGATTCAATCTACTCCCTGTCCTTCCTACTCTCCAGAGGAGCAGCAGTTGAATACCTGGCTTAATTGGGAAGATGATACCTTCTGCACCACAAAATCACAGAATGGTTTGGATTGGAAGGGATCTTAAAGCTCATCTCAATCCACCCCCTGCCACCTTCCACTATTCCGCATTGCTCCAAGCCCCATCCAACCCGGTCTTGGACACTTCCAGGGATGGGGTAGCCACAGCTTCTCTGGGCAACCTGTGCCAGTGCCTCCCCACTCTCACAGTGCATATAAAAAATTCCAGGATGAAACATCAGATCTTTCTCTCTCAGTTACTTTGTGTTTTTTAATTAAATCCCCCACTAAAGGTGAAATATAGGTGTTTTTCTAATTTTGTGTTTCCATTGCACCCACTGAAGGCCAGGGCTGAAGCCAAAGCCGCCATCCTCACCAACATCCATCCATTCTGGAGGAATCAGCCGACACTTCTGCCTCTGCTTCAGATTAATGGCCAACCAGACAGGCACCTCCACTGGCAAACCAGGATTGAAAGGACCCAGATCTCCCTGGAAAACAAACCACCACCTCCAATCCATCCAGATCCTTCCCCGTGCCTCCCATACCCTCCCCTTCTTCCCAAACACCCCAGACCATCACCAATCCCCTCAGCCACTCTCCCCCAATCTTCCCAGATTCTAACCCTCAGTCCCAATGCCCTAAACCAAACCACCCACATCTAATTCCCCCATCCCCGATCCCAAGACCCACCCAGAATCTGCACTCTGTGTCCCCTGGCTCTGTCCCAGCCCTCGTCCTTGGCCTCCCCTGGCCCCAAGTCCCCCTGACCTCCAAACCATGTCCAACAAGCCCCCCCAAAGCTTTTCCAAATCTCCCCAGGCTGTTTCCCAAACACCCCCAGCCCTCCAGTCCTTGTCCCCCAAGCTCCTGTTCCCAGTGTCCCCAGGCTCTGTCCCCAAGCCCTCACTCCCTGACTCCCAGGCTGTGTCCCCAAGTCCCCAGCCCTGTCCCCAAGCCTACAAGCCCCCCCTCCAGACCCATCCCCGCCCATGAGCCCCCCGACCCTCTTTTTAGTGTCCCCTGGCTCTGTCCCCCCCCTCCCGACCCCCAGCCCCGCGTCTCCAAACTTCCCTCCCCGCCCGGTCCCGCCCCGCCGACCCCGATGAGGTGAATCCGGTCCAGGCTGAAGTTGGGCACGATCGTCACCAGCTCCTTCTCGGCCAGAAACTCCACCTCGGCCGGCTCCATTCGGCGAGTGGGACCTGGGGGGGTCAGAACCCAAATTAAAATGAGATCGAACCGGGATCAGACCGGGATCAGACCGGGACCGTACCGGGCGCGCGCCCTCGCACCCGATTGGCTGCACGGTCCGCAGGCCCCGCCCCGTTCCCGCCGCCCGCCGCGTTTTCGCGGTCTCCGAGAGGAAGGCGGGACCTGGAGTGGCCCGACACGCGCTGATTGGTTCGCACCCACTGTTGCCGTGGCGCACGACCCTCTGATTGGCTGCTCAGCTCACAGCGCTCTCTGGGCGGGGCCCGGCGGGGGCAGGTCCGGCCCGAGGCACGGGGACCAATCGCGACGCCCCTCCTGGGGAGCTCGACCAATCAGCGCTCGGCACTTGTTGCCGGGGCGCGCGGGACTCGCGGCGGCCCTGCCCCCTCCCCCCGCGCTCTCGCCCATGGCGCCCCCTGGCGGCAGGGAACGGCAGCGCCTCGCGGAGGGGGCGGGGACTCGCGGAACCCCGATCGGGGGTGACACGGACTGTGGTGAGTGTCCATCCATCCATCCATCCATCCATCCATCCATCCATCCATCCATCCATCCATCCATCCATCCCTCCATCCATCCATCCATCTAGACCTTCCCTTCATTCATCAGCCTATTTGTCCACCCATTTCTCCATCTATCCATGCCTCAATCCACCCATCCACCCACCTTCTATTCAACCACCCATCCATCCATCTAGCTACCTATCCACTCCTCCATCCCTCTTCATGCTTCAATCTACCCACCCACCTATCCATCCACTCAACCATCGAGTACCCATCTATCCATCCGTGCATCAATCCACCCACCCATCCATCCATCCATCCATCCACCCATCCATCCATCCATCCATCCATCCACCCATCCATCCATCCATCCATCCATCCATCCATCCATCCATCCATTCCTCCACCCATCCACACTCAGCCCAGCCAAGTGGCTTCTGGATGATTTGGGGCGGGGACACACACGCATCCCAGTTTGCAGATCCCCACGGAAACAACCCCCCCAGATGAATCGATCTCTCTCCAATCCCGCTCCCAAACCACCTCGGGTTCAGCCTTGGGACCATCCATGGAGTGACCCCAACCCTTGGGATGAGCATTGCCCCGAGGGTGCCCCTGGGCTGGGCTGGGAGCCAAACCCTGGGGAGCCCCAGACCGCCCCCACATGGACAGCACGAGGAGGGCCCCACAGCCCCCCGTTCCTGGTGCAGCCCCCGCAGTGCTGCTGGCACGTGCTCGGCTCCGCCAGGCGCTCCGTGAGCGTCCCCCCCACGCTGCGCCTCCCCTCGCGTGTCTTTTGCCATCTGCTGCTGTCATTAAAAAATTAAATTTCCATCTGCTTTCACACTCCCGCCTCTCCCGCCGGCTCCGGGTGCTGCCGCTCCCTGGGAAGCGTCGCCCCCGGCTCCCTCCCGGGATGCGGCCAATCCAGCGGGATGTGGGTGACACTGAGTTCATTTTCCTGGTGCTGTTTGATTCTTCAGTCTGTGTGGGGAGGGGGGACCTCACTTTTGGCCACGAAGTCAGCTCCAGGGCGGTGGTGACAGGGTGCTTTTGGGGGACAGACCACCCACAGCCAAACCGGTGCCAAACTGGGGGAGCAGAACCCCAGGGGTTTTATTCACCAGGGGGATCCACGCAGTGCCACCCCCTCCACGGTGCTGTTAGGAAAAGCGAGAAAAACTAGTCACTGTTGTCCAAACCGACCCGTGTGGGTGCCACGTGTGTCCCTGCAGAGCTCCCGGGGTGCCGGATCCGGATGAGTCGCATCCTGGAGGCCGTGGCTCCATCCCAGCGGAGCAGGGACACATCCCGCCGGGATGGTGTCCCCCCTGTCCCCACTCAGCACTGGCTGCACGGGTACGGCCCCCCTGCCCTCCGCCCCTCTCGGGACAGGATGGTCCCCGTGGGTGTGGGCGGCGTGACGATGATGGAGGGCACATGCAGGTGCTTCTCCCCCGAGGACGCCGTCGGGGGCCGGTCGCTGCCGTTCCCACTGCTCACACACGTCTTCAAGCCTGTGGAATTTGGGGGGATAAAGCAGGGGCAGGAGGAGATGCTGCAACATCCCACACCTCCCCACCCTCCTCTGTGTAATCCCCGTATGAGACACTTGAGAATCCACAGGCACCCCACCTCGCACCTCCTTCCCACTTGGATTTTGGGGTGTTTCACAGAGGTGGATCCCCCCTTGGCCGCCTGCCCACCCCCCTCCAGGGAACAGATCGCTTTAATCTGCTTTTTTAATCAGCAGAAAAGCCCCGCGCGGCACAGGCGGCATCCAGGGAGGTTTCAGCTCTTCCCAAGCAGGAAAATGCCCGGAGGGGACAGACACTGATATTTTTAATCTCTTTTTAATTAAGGATAAAGCCCTGCCTTACATAAGGGAGCTGGAAAAGCAGGAGGGTCTTTTCTTTTATTGTAGACTCCAAGCACATCTGAGGGGTCTGGAGGCACAGGGGGATATTTTGAGGCTCTGTCCTGGATTTAGGTCAGGGTGGGCATTCCCTGGCTGCCTGCTTCCCCTCTTCAGTTACCCCATGTTGGGCTGGGGGGGGTTGTGGGACCCCCAAATTTCCTAGAACACACTCCCCTCCTCCAGCATCCCTGATGCGTGGAGGGTGCAGTGCTCAGTTTTGGGTGATGCATTCAGCTCTGTGCCCATCACAATCAGCATCTCACCAAATTTAGGTTTGCAAGAAGCCAGGGAACAGGGAGCCCTGCATCTTAGAGAGGGACACTCATTAACTCCCATCCCTAAGAACCCCAAGGATGATTAATATGGGCCACTGGGATGCAGAGCTAATGGGAGATGCAACATCCAGCCTTCGCCCTGCCGGGCCAGGAGCATTAAAAGCTCCCACTTTCACCCTGCGCAGATATCTGTGATGCCATTCCCAGCCTAAATCCATTAAGAAAATTAAAGCTGGGGGGAAAACTCCTGGGTTGGAGTGTCCCTGGGGAGAGTGGAGCAGCGAAGGACACTCAGGGTCAGCCTGGAGGTCAGGGGCTGGGACCCCAGGCCTGTGGCCTGACCCCAGGCATCCCTTCCATGCATCCCTGAGCAGCCTATCCATGATTTTGAAGGCCCTTTCCCACCTCAAAGGAAAACCCACCTATTTACTGAGGGATGCTCTTAACCCATGGATTCTCCAGAGCAGAGGATGCAGAACAAGAGTAAAAATGAGCTTTTATTTTTTGATAGGGCTGGGAAAATCATCTCTGGGTGGTGCAAGTACAACAGGTCACCCGAGGGACTTCATAAATACCACTCTGATCCCAAACCCCATCAGTCCTACCCACACCTAAAGCTCCTCCATGTACGACCATCCCCCAGATGCCTTCACAGAGCAGGAGACACCCCAACATCCCACCCAAAACTTACCTTTCAGGCAGGATAACTTGAGCCCCATGTTTTCATCCTCTCAGTGGGATCCAGCTCTGCAGCTCCGCCGCCGGTCCTCGCTGCTGGAGTTGGAAAAGAGAGCAGAGGGTTGAGGGAAGCGATGCTGGGGAGGAGGAAGGAGAGGGAACTTGATTGCTGGCTAAAAGCTCACATCTATCCGTACGTGTCTGTATCTATAGGAGCCTGGGCACAACAGGAAGTGCGGCTTCTCGGTCTCAGAAACCACCAGTGATGTCACGGTACTTCAGTGACTCAATCTCATCCAATGAGTTTAGTAAGAACTTTCTGGGAGGGTGGAGAGGGAGCCTGTTGCCAGGTGGGGGGGTCCCATCCCAGCTTCTCCACTGCTGGGGTCGGTGCGGCAAATATTTGGAGGTGAGAAGGTCGTGAGCAGGTGGAATCAGGTTGTTATTTCTTTGGTTCTTGCAGAGAAAACCCCAAGCCTGGGCACAGGAAATAGAGGAATCCTCCCGGGGCTGCCTCCCTTGGGCTGAGCCAGAGCAGCTGCTGGGATGCACTGAGGGAATGCACATCATCCCGCTCCTCTTGGGCATCCCTGATGCCCGGAGAGCTTTCGGGTGGATGATTCCCATTGTGAGATATCACTTCTTTTAAGATGCTGAAAGTCATTCTAGGAAAAAATGCCTTTACTGGGAAATCTGCTTCCCTCCTGCCCACAGCTGCTGGGAAAAGCTTATTGAGATGAGGGTCAGTGACTCATTTTGGCTCTTCGAAACTCTGGGCCCTGCAGAGAGCCAAACAAACCCTCTGCTCCCCCTGCCTGACCTCCAGTGTGGCTTTAGTTTGCCTTTCCAAGCAGCCCTGAGGTGGGTCGGCAGCAAGCAAGAAGGGGAAGTGGAAACTTGCTATTGCTGGTTTTAATTCTGTATTTTCATCAGTTCCCCAAGTGCACCCTGAGCTGAGACAGGGTGCAGGGAATGGAGTGCTCTCCGTGCCTCCCACTTTGCAGCTATCCTGGAGGCTTCCCAAATAGCAAGAAACCTGTTTTGAGGAGAGCCCTGTGGTTTTGGGCACCTACTGGAAGCTCACACCACTTGGGGCTGGAGGAGAGTCATGCTGGGCACACCCAGACTCCCAGCACAGGGTGGGATATCCTCTAGGATCTAATCCTGTGAGATTAGATTCCAGTGGCCAAACCTTCACAGGACACAGCAGCCCCCTCCCCACCACTGCTGGCTCTTATCCCTGTGGCCAAGCTCCAGCACCACTTGTGGTTTGGGTAGAGAAAATTCCCCTGCAGAGATTCCAGAAGGATTTCTGGTGGTTGCTGCTGAGGCTTCAACTTCACTCCCGTGTGCCAGCACCAGGCCAAGGAATATTTGCATCCTGACGAGTTCACGCTCCAAAAACCCCCAGACACTCATCACAGGCGTCACTGGAATGGGGGATGAAGTGCTCAGGAGGAGGGGGATGCTCAGCCTGCCTGTGGGGCCAGGGAGGACTGGGAAGGGGGAATGGGACCGAAGGCGCTGTGGTGCTCCGAGGGGATGGAACTTACCCGGTCCCGGGAGCCAGAGGCACGATGCCCACCGTCGCATCCCACCTCCCCTGTCTGGTCTCGGATTCAGGAGGCTGGGAGGGGATTCCCCTCAGGACCAGCCGTGCCCGGGGAGCGCGGGGGGAGG